ATCTTCTTTACTGGAGGTGATGTTTAAACTGAAGATCTCAGTCACTGGTTCCTTTGTTATGGTGTTGGACTGTAGTTGACCCAGTTTTGTCTGTCCTCTGTAGAAGGTCACAATGAGGTTTTCAACAGGAGCAACGTCCTGTACTGTACACTGCAGAGTGTACGGATGACCCTCATACATCGGCCCAGTATGATTAACAAAGCTGATGGACACATTGTCTGGAGGCTCTGTAGAAACAGATCAACAGATAAACCACACAGAAAAGGCTTGATGCACTTGATGCATTTTCTAACAGACAAACACAAATATTAACTCACTGTAGACTATTAGAGGAAGCATAATGTCGCACGACCCTTTCTCATCAGTCATTGCATAGCATGAAGCTGTGATGTCCCACTTAGTCATCTTGTCCACAGTCCAGATGACAAAATGATTCTGACTGAGTCCAGAAGTCCCCTAGAGTTGCATAAGGTCACAAATCACAGAGCAATTAAGATTCAGTTTGAATGTAGACTATATTTAAATGTTACTGTCTAGCTGGTATTATTTTATTAGCTCAATATAATCCAATACAGTAGCCCTGCAATAAAACATAAACTGCTTTAAGCTTTGTAAAGCCTATAATGTTGAGTTCTGTTAGCATTGTTTTATATCTGTGAAAATGCAGTCTGTAAACACATTCAGTCTATGTGCTGAGTGAGTGTTCTGAGTATGAGTCTGAGGCTCACATGCTTATGTGGACAATCATAGAAAAAAATGTGTCGGTCATAATGACCTGATATCAGCTTGAAATAAATGTAATGGAGCCGTAAACTGATGAAAATGTGGTTGGAAGTGGTTTGGGAGGCCCCAGCCAAGGCCACGTAAACTCAAACATGTAGTGAAGGTGACGTCGGAATGTCTGACTGAGGCCCCTGTCCAACTCCCATCTTCAGAGGGTTTTTATCTGTATCCTGGAAGAGCCTGGGAACATGGAATCCATTAAGTTTGGAATCCAAGTGCCATATTTGAATCCACCATTTGTAAGTGGCTGCATCAACTTGTGGCCTGAAGATCAGCAGACCCTCCAATCAGTGTCAATCAAAGAACCTGCTGGTGGGCACCAGGGTGAAGTAGGCCTTCCAGCTGAAGAGGGAATCATTTTGGACTTAGTTATCCCAAGGGACCCCTGAAGCAGCAGAGAGGTGTCATGAGACCAGAAGGACTGCAGCTTCTGTGATCATGAAAGCAAATAGATGAAGATTTTGGGAAAGCCATGGAGAAGGACTTTCAGTTGGCTCTGGAAAACCATTAGGCAAACAAGGAAGGGAAGGCAAGGTCTTCCCCAGTCTGTTTACAGAGGGGCTGGAGAATAGCTGACCTTGAATGGGGATACTGAGTAACTTAACCTGACCAATATCCCCTCTGTGAAGGTGGATGGTAGAAGATGAGCTGAATGACTACCATAACCATTTCCCTGGTAGAGGTTAGGTCGTCTCATAGGGCTGAAAGAGATTCACCCTGAGGTGCTGAAGGCTCTGGATATTTGCTGGGCTGTGTTCACTCTTCAATGCTGTGTGGAGCTCAGGGAATCAGGGACAGTAATTGTGGACTGGTGGGGTTGGTGGTGCTCTGAAATGATTGGACTGTCACACTGCTCACCCTCCAGGGGTAAACCTGTGCCAGCGTGCTGGAGACGAGGCTCCGGGCCAACTGTCGAACCACAGATACAGAACTAATAATGCAGATATTATTCTGGTTGTGGAATAGTGGACCAGCCTGTTTACTCTTGCAGGAATACTGGAAGGGTCATAGTAGTTTGCCCATCCAGTTTACAGCCATTTCCTCCTGGATATCTCATGGGGACTGCCACAGAAGTAGGGGGTGTTTGGGCCATTATTAATTGCCATCTTGTCCTTGTGATGAGAGCTGGGTCTGTGTTCCGGGCAAGAAGTCCAGCACATTCTCTGTGGGATTGGGCTTCACTAGGGTGGTGACACTGTCACTCATAAAGGCGGAAATGGCACTTTAATGGACAAAATGTCAAGGGGGTGCTGAAGTGGAGAGTACTTGTTATGGTGACTTTAGGATAATATCTCTGCTCCCATTAGCTTGGGAGTGAGTTTCTGCCCCAAGTAAAGGAGTATCTAAGGATCTTGTTCACAAGTGATGGTAGGATGGAGCAAGAGATTTATGAGTGGATAAGATCAGGGGTTGTTAAGTTACTTTTTAAGCTAATATGGCTTTCAATTCATATAGAGATGATTGATTTCCTACCAGGCTGACTACCCAACCGAGACCAGAATGATTAATCCTTTGTGAAGAGCAGTTAGCTGTGAATGAATCTCCGAACCTGTGACAGGAGAGTTTACACACAATTAGTTATCACTAATTTACACAGAAACATACAAAAAAGGAAAAAGATAAAGGAGGGAATCCATTTATAGCTACTCGTCCGATCTTTTTTTGTGTTTGTTGACTTATAGTGTGTGCAAAAATTCTTCACATTTTTCTGCATTGCATGGCTTCCCTCCTTTTTCTTCATCACTAGTTTAAAGAGACATCATCTTCTAAGCAAAAATAGGCAATTGCAAAGTAGAAAAAGAACCAGATATTTATGCCTAAGCTTATCAATGTAGGGAGTCCAGTGCACTTAAGGCAGCATGTCCACAACTTCAAAACACTGTTTACCCAATGCTACACAATGCACTAGTGCACTTTTACAATATGTGTCATTACTTTTGGTCCATACACTACACCTCATGTTCTCTACAGTGTACATCATCTTCACTTAGAGAAAAGTATGTTTATATTTTCTTCTGAGAAAATGTTATTTGGATCTCTGAGCCACTGTACCACCCTAAAATAATTGACCAGCTATTCCTAACATACCTGACCACCAGAGTGGAGGGTGATATCCTCAGGCGGCAACTGGCTTCTGCTGCTGACTCTACAGAAAAGTGGGCTGGGACACCGTGAGAAGGAGAAGGTGGAGACGGGAGGATTGTTGGAGAGGGAGAGGGAGGTAAAATTTGCACTGGAAGAGGTGGAGCAGTTGTGGAAACTGGAGATGAGGTAGCTGAAGTCACAGGGGGGATCAGGGAGTGGTAGAGGAAGAAAGACACAATAAGTCACTTAATTATGTAAACATTCAAGTTAATATATATTAAAGACTCTCCAAATCATTGTGAATTAGAGTTTAACTACAGCAATACACAGTCACAACAGATAAGGGTTTTTTTTTTTCAAAGAATTCATCAACATTTCATAATGATAATCTTATAATCTTAAATCTTATATATAAATAAGCACTGTATACAGACAAGAACCTAAAATACAAGATTCGAGGATTCTTGCCCCATTGGAGCTGAGCTGAATGCACATAGGAATATTTAGTAGCAGTATATTAAAGTATCTGCAGTGAGTGGTACAGAATATAAATTATGTATCTCTTCATTTGTTTATCTTTATGTGTGCTGTAAACTGTATGAACTTGTGAGTCTTTACATAACACAGGCAAGGGTCAATTGGATTTTGCCATCTCGTGAAATAATACTCTTTTTAGCTGATCTATTGTGAACCATTGTTTCAAAGCACACTGAATACACCCAGTGTGTTCCTTTGAGGAAGGAAGGACACCCTGCCCAAGTCAAAGACCTCGCTCCTCTTTTCTATGACCATTGTTCCAATGACTCCAGAGGTTGTTCTGCTGCCTATCAGACGATCTCACTCACAGTGGCTCACTGGTGTGTGTGTCAGCATTCTGGCTGTCAAAATGTATAGTTATGTTTCCCACCTATCAGTCTGCAAAATTAGTGAAATAAGGCAACTGCCAGGTTATGTCTATACCGACAGTCTCATCTACAGAGCTAAATCAGAGTCAAAAATCTAAATTAATCTGTCATGATTTCTTGATATCTATTTTTTTTCTTAAATGTCAGAAAAAATTTGTAAACTTTACAATCTGTACAATCTGAGAAACATTGGATTTGAAGTCTGAAGTGTCAGTTGCACCACTGCTAGTATTGTCATTCATCAGGTACGACACACACTGTGTATATGTACTGCAGATAGAAATGCCCTCATAGAGATGCATTTCTCTTTTTTTTTCTACCTGTGGTTCCTAATGAGGTGAAAAAGAAGAAAAAACATGTTACAGCCCCACATATTTTCAGATTTTTCTCTTCAAGTAATTATTCATAATGCCCAGAAACCCAAATCACTAATTTCCCTCAAGGAGCTTTACAAACTCAATTTAACATATACCCCTACATCCCTGCTTTAATCTGTGCTTTTTGGCGAGTTTTACCTTTTAAGTCCCCTAAAAAAGTCTTTAAAAAATCACTCTGTGCTTGTTCAGCTCACACCTCACTGACACTCAAAACCTGTGACAAGGTACCGCAAGTACATCCCAGCAGAATTAACTGTAACATTCATAAGCCAAAAAAACGTTTACTAATTAAAATTTTCAGCTTGTATCATCTGCCCTATCTACCCTCGCTGTTTCCACATTGAGCAGGTTTGTTACGACGCTTTGTCTCATTCATTTAGCTGTCATTTCACTCACCTGAGCCGAACAACAGCAGAAGTGTGATTGGCCACGCAGATCCACACATCCTTCCTCACTTTCACTGCCTCAGAATATTGACTGCCGATATGACGTCTCTCCCAAACACCAGTTACTGACTCTGTGATGCTGGCAGTGACACGGCCTGAGACTTCTGAGAAAAACACAGGGTACTTCAGGTTTTTATGGGAACGTGGGTGTGTATGTATGTTCTTTTTGTGTGTGTGTGTGTGTGTGTGTGTGTGTGTCTGAAGCTGATGATCAGGCGATTCCTTTGCTTTGGCCTCTGAAACCCACCATGGGCGTTCTCTGTTGGTATATCAAGAGAGGAAGGAAGGGAGGGTCAAGAATAATGCAAAGTAGTGCCGCAGCCCAGAGGGTAAAAATGAGTGTGCATTGTGTGTGAGCAGTTACACACAGTAGCTGTAAACAACAGAGTGAAAGATGATGTTATTATCAATGTAGCAGCTCTTTTCAAATTCCAATCTTTTGTTTTCAGTTCAAGTTCCACTGTTTTGCTAAAAGAAATGATGTATTGTTGTCTGCTGTTGCTATTAAAACCACATATCTCCATATTTTTACTTTCTTTTTACAAATGCAATGTTTCCTTGTCCATTGTTCTATTAGACAATTTACTTGCACACAATTATTCAGTTTTTTTTAGTTTATTATAAACTAATGAAAACTACTAATACTTATGGGTTCCATTTCTGCCAATGCAATCAGCAACTACACCGCTAGATGCTACTAAATGCACCAGTGTGGTTCTTTAAGTGGCATTTTAACTGTAATGGAGTGTTTTTAAATTGTGGTATTGAAGGACTGAACTGAATATTTCCTCTTGCACTTCATGAAACCTTTCGTCATTTCATTGGTGGTTATTTTATTTATTTATTTTATTTCATTGTAGTCCTGAGTTATTTTAATTTAGTGTTTCCCAGGAACGTCAAAGCACTCTTGGATGGGAATGTGTTTTATAAAGAAAGCTCATGATTATTATTGTTGTTATGTGGCCACCATTTCTATTAAAGGGTCAGTTCCCCCCAAATCACAACATATTTCCTGAGAGTCCAGTTTATGTTGTTGACAACTGAGCAAACTCCATCCACTGAAGACCACGGTGAAAATGTGGAAAATATTTGAACTCAATAACATTACATTATTGTAGCACATTATTAAAGCATTGAATAATAGTTAAGGTGGCATTAGAAAATATATTGTTCTCCAATTTTTTTATATATTTTTTTTTTCAAATATATGTGTGTTAATATCGTTTCTCTATTTCTTTGTCTAGCTATTCAAGATTTTAACTGAAGCATGTGTCATGCTTAATTTGTTTGGAAATCCAATATGAAGTGAGGGAGACAATACTGGTGGTACATTATGACACACAGTATGCTGGTTATGTTCTTGTATTTGAGAAATGAGAAATAATAAATGTCTCTACAACCGCAAAAACAGATTTTATACCGGGGGCTGAATAGCTACAGGCCTATCAGCGAGAATAGAGTTTAAACATGTATTTATTGTTTATGTATTTGGGGTGACACGGACGGTCTCACCAGTTGAACTTCAGTACTAAAGTTACCTCTGCTGCTGCCTCTACTTCCTGGTGCACTGGTTATAACCGAAAGTAATCGTTTGCGTCATTTTCTGTGCATTATTGCGACGGTGTGTTTATTGTCTGGGTATATGACACGGTAAGTGCTTTATGGATTACAGTGCTCCTGTGCTTTTGGATTGTTCTGTTTGTGCCTCTGCCGCTGCGCTTCTTCCGCACTTCATATAGTTTAATTGGAGTTAATCATTGACAGTAAATAAGCGGGAGCTTGCTGGCACAGTGGCTGCTGGGTACTGCGGACGGGTCCTTCTTCCTGCTGTGGAGTCGTTTTCAGATTTATTTAGTCCGTTTAAATAGTTTATCCAATTAATGTATTAACTGCTCCGCCAGAAGAGTGACGTTTTCAGTCCCATGCGGTTTGTTATTCTCTGGCAGACACATTTAAAGTAGATACCTTTAACCTACGGCCCAGCTCACAGCGGCCATAAAGAAATATAAGGGCCTACAGTATTAATGGTGTTAACGTTGCCTGTAGAAGATATGCTATGCTGATTCAGTTAAAGCCATGTTTCTGTGCAGTGTCAGTGTGCATTGCTATTAGTTTGTTTGACTATTATGATCAATATTTACATAAATAATGCTTCAGCTGTACTTAGTTACTGTGTTTGTAGCTTGATCCATACTAGAGACTAAAAGTAAGAATATCTCGATCCCTGCTGCTCAGATTTTGACTTTTTAAACTCTTGTGGGTGTTATGGTCAGTGGTTTCTAGAGTTTTCTCCTCCATGGTGTCCCTGTCTGTCTGTATGTCTCTGTGTGTGTGGACTTCTCCCACTATCCCTGATTACCTGCTCACCTGTCTGACTGCTCAAATATGCCAGCCATCAGCTCATCAGTCCTGCAGTATATGAACCCCGGTTCTCCATCCACTCTCCCCCAGATTGTTGTCTATACATGCTCGGTAGCAACTCTCCTGCCCAGTTAGAGAACTTTAAGATACTTTTTTCCCTGTTCGTGCTGATAAACTTAACCTTGTTTTTTCCCCGTGCCTCATCACCTTCACCTCAGCTGCCCACTCCTTCCTATCAGCCACGCTGCCTCCACCTTCAGCTCCACTCTGCCTGGATCTCAGCCATTATCCTCTCACCACTGCAGCAGGAGCTTCACATCACCGTTTCATCTGCTGGTTCTCAATAAAGCCTGTCTTTGGTAATCATACCTTACTGAGTTTAAATTCTGCTTGTGGGTTCCTCTGTTGAACATAACAGTGCCCCCCCCGCAGGAAAAGACCTGCAGACTGCAGAGCATCTGCACCAACATTAACAACAGATTAATATATATTATATACTGCTGAATAATTGTAACAATCCTATATTTATGACTTATTTATGCTGGGAGTCAGTCAGAGATAGGAATGCTGAGAGAAACTGTCTATTTAATGTCATACTAAATACAATGCGACAATTTAACACTGAAATTTATACCTAAAAAAAGTAGAGCAGCCTCCAGTTACCAGAGTTATTTCATAATCTAGAGCTACGACTAATCACACATTGTAATGGCCAACATTTGTCACTGTACAGTGGCATCAATTGCTTTACCTTGTGTACTCTAGCTGTAGCTGGCTGGATTGAACTCTGTCTGACCACATGCCCCGACTCAAACTCCCTAAAAGACCTCAGTGTTGGCCTGGGATAGATCCCACCTACCTTGCCTTAATTGGGGTTAGTGATGAGGTTGCAGTATAACCCTATTCACAATAAACTATGGGTAAAAAACAATACTTCCATAAATACTAGTATCTGATTTTAGAGGGAGCCGCGGTCCCCTCAGCACCCCCCATGATGATTTGTTGTTACTGCAAACATGACAACATAAATACTTGTGACCCTTTATGTGTGATTTACTAAGGTTTGTAACTGCAGACGGTCTGGCTCATTAGAGAGTGAGAAACTTTTCCATTTTCCTATTGAATCATCCTTCTGACGGGTCTTCTCAGTGAATTAAAAAGTTAGCTGAAAGAACTTTTCACATCCTGGCAACCTAAAAGTTCTTCTAGTTAATGCTTAGAACTGATCTGCATCAGCATTATGAAATGATTCATTTTATTTGATTTTATTAGTTGTAGCCCTTCATATAAATCTCCTATAAAATTGAAAATAGTAATGGAATCGATCTTCTCATCCAATTTATAGCAACAAAGCAGATAAGAGTATTGTTGAATTGTTCTTTTACTATTGAAGGCAAAAATCTGAAAATTAATTCCAACCTCTTCCACCTGCTCAGTGAGAAGATATGTCGGTTCCAGGGCTTCTCCTCGAGACTCTGGAGGAGCTGGGCAAGGATGACTTCATCGCGTTTAAGTGGCACCTCTCCATAAAGATCTTGGCCAACTGCAAACCGATTCCCAAGTCCCGCCTGGAAGACATTCCCCGGACGGAAACTGTGAGCAGGATGATAGAGAGCTACGGCGAAAAGTCAGCTGTGGATGTCACTGTTGCAGTTCTGAAGACGATGAATCAGAACAACGCTGCGGATGAGTTAGAGAGAAGATACGCAGGTGCAGGGCAGAGGGTGTTTTGAGTCAAAGTAACCAAAAGTAACTTTACGTGTGTCAATACCATTGAGAGTATATATATGGTCTTTATTCTCTGCAACTGTATCTTTTCATCAGCAGGAGCAGGAGCAGCAGGGGGAGCAGCAGCTACACCGTCCTCCTCTGCTGCGGTGCCTACTGCTGCTCCTGGCGCGATGGTAGCTCAGCAGGGAGGCATCATCATCGCGCCATCAGTCACCGGTACCACCTGTAAAGCAGTGAATATAACCATTAATAAATAAACTGGGCTGTGTTTATTAATGACCAGTTTTTGTTATATGAAGTTATAGTTGTTTACAAATACATGAATAAGCACTTACATCTGTTTACAACTATATCATAGTGTGTCACAAATATTAATTCAATGTGTCTATATCAGGTTTATACATGCTTGAACGTTTCTCATTCTCATTCTCAAGTCATACGATGACCACGAGCAATATCATGACTTTATATACATTTTCCATGCTATGGTGCTTTAAGACCAAGTACTAAATGAAGAAAACATTTTTTAAATGTGCTTAAAATTACATCATTCTAAATAAACAATGAAAACAAGCAGTGTAGTCTGTACCTTTTTTCCACACTACTGTATATAGTGGTTAAATATTTGTGTACTTGTCACAACTTGTGCTTTCACAGAGTTTACCAAGAGTGCTCTAAATAAAAATAAAAACTTTTATACACAGTAGAGAGACAGTTACAGAGATACACTGCATTAATATTGCTAATGTAGACCATAAATGCTGTCAAATGTGTTGTATCTAAAGCATTATACCTTTAAAGTAGTAGTATTCTGTGTGTTACAAGCTTTTTGAGTGTATGATGTGTTCATAGAGGCATGTTTTACTTCTCATAGTAGGAAAAGCACAGGTGTTACTTACAACATTAGCAAAGCCTCTGTTCTATCCAAGTGTCCATTGTGGCAGTGAGCCAGCAAGAACAGTATCAGCACCCTGAAACTGAAGCAGCTAAATGGAATTCAGCCACAATCATTCACACCAGAGCTAACTGTGTGACTGAGACACATTTTAAAGGGTTGATCCTCCAAATAATATCCACCTGGTGTCAGCAGGTGGCGCTGGGGCCACACGGACGTGACCTCATAAGGTCTGTGCTGCTGTATCAAACCTCCAGTTCTCATTTCACAGAGGCAGATATGAGAAAGCTTCAGGATGGAAACAACTGCAAGATCATTATTTATAGTTAATTTTATGTGTTTGTTTGTTTTTTTGGGAGTGAACTTATATCAGACATCATGTGCTTCTTTAAAAACAGTTTATATCAAATGAATCCAACCGGTAGTGAAAGTGAAGCTGGATGTATACCATTTCCTTCCTATTTTTATGACGTAATTAAAGCGTGATTGTATAACTGTTGCAGGGATTGCTGAAATAGTTTCAGATGCTCATCAACAATTTTATCAGTTCAGTTATTATGACTCACATCTGATATTTTGGCTTAATGAGCTTTTGATGGCTGTCCTCTCTAAGCTTTAGTGCAGCCATTGTTATCTCACTCCATATTGCTGTTATGCCTACTAACCCAGAGGGACAAGGACTGTTATTAGCTTGAAGTTATTCATTTCTATCTTACCTTTTAAGAATTTCTGCAGACAATCTATTATCTTTGATTTCTCTTAGAAATAGAGTGGTCTTTGTAACAGTGTTGCCTGCTAATTTGTAATTTTTTTAAAAACTGAATATCTAAAAATTTAACTCTACGTAAGAAAAATAATTACTCAAAATATTCGGCTCTGCAAGCAATAAGCATCAGTCAAACAGAGGATATATAACTTTGAAAACAACAACTGGTCAACAGGAAAAACCCTGATTTAAAGCACAAAGAGAGACAGTGGGAAATGTCTCGCTGTGGCCAGCAGACGTGCTTTGTCTCACTTTAAGACGTGAGATTTAATAGGAAGTCCGTCAGTCAGTCTCGTTCTGTGAAACATGAACTTGAACTTGTGTGTTCTTGTGGTTTGCAGTTGTCAAACAGGCTTAAGTTAGAAACTAAAAGTAGTCTATATCACCCCACAATGTTGCTGCACTTTCAGTAGATTCACTTCTGTCAGGACAGCTGTCTAATTACTGGAGCCACTACGGTAAGACATTCACTGAGATATTTAAGAAAACAAATCTGATTTATAGTCCGGTCTTAAAATAAATCAAGTCAAAGATGTCACAATGATGCTTAAACATCATAAAACGCAAAACTATATAATAATTATTTTATTTATATGATTATTTTCCAATATTCATCATCAGCGTTTGCTTGTTGTTTTTGTGCATCTTCTTTTAACCTGATATTCAAGTTAGTTTTCTTTTTTTTGTGTTTTTAAATTAGAGGTAAACATTTTAAAAAGATAAATGCTTGATAAGAAATATGTAACCTACCAAGCAGAAAAGGAACTGTTCTACAGTGATGTGCATATGTTGCTTATATATGTAACAACAACTTAATCATTTTTGTTATTTTTGCCATCGAGGTTAAGAGTAAAGATACAGACAGGAAACATGGGGGAAGAGAAAGCACTAACAGACCTTGTACAGATATTATGAAAAGTAATATTAATAAGAACATGTAATCGATGTATTGATAGATTACACTCGTAAAAATAAGGTCTTCTGAAGGTCATTGCCAAAAGAATACATTTAAACTTTGACTCATGACTTTTATGCTGAAGTGTGAGTTCACTTTCAACTTAACATAAAAAAATTGTTTAAATTGCAAAAAGTGGTTTAATCTGCAAACTGAAATCCTATTTTCCCTTTTTTCAGTGAGCAAAAATGCAGGTTTCACTTCTGATCTTAGACACTCTGGATGAGCTGGGCGCTGATGAGTTCAAGAGGTTTCGGTGGAACCTCACTCAGCAAGTGCTGGACGGGTGTCAGCCCATTCGTAAGGGCCATCTAGAGAACGCTGACCGGCAGGACACTGTCAGTAAGATGATAGACAGCTACGGCGAAGAATCAGCCGTGAACGTTACTGTTGAAATCCTGAAGAGAATGAACCACAACAACGCCGCAGAGAAGTTAAAGAGAACATACGCAGGTAGGCTAGATCATAGGTTTCTACCTCTTTACCTTAATTCTACATACTTTTTTAATGGTAAATTATTCTGTTTGTGTCTGTCTTTCATCACCAGGGGGGGCAACAGCTGCACACAACCCCACCCCCACACCTTCCTCCCCTTCCTTGAGTCTGACTCCTGCTGCTGGTGCCAATGTTTGTGCCCAGGGTAAAAGTGTTATCGTGGCACCCAACATCGCAGGCACCTCTGGTGTGTCAATTAATATGAACATAAACACACAGTAATCACAGTTACACCTCATTAAAGTGTGTAGTCTGTCAAACTGAATAGCCTGTGGGCTGTCACAGGGGTTTTGTGACATAAAGTTGACTGATTTCCATGCAAGGACATTAAAAAAATGATTTAAAGCAAGACTATGTTAAATTTGAAGGAAGAAACAAATACAATTTAACAATATTTCTCTTAAAATTGTCTTTGACTTCATAAGCAATAAAACACCCACATTGTGTTCATGTATTAACCTCAGGGGTTTTGTTGCCTTATTTGGTCTGGTCTAGCTTGGTTTCTGCAAACAGATATTGTTGTGTAACATGTAACAGACCACAGGAGTCCACTGACTGTATGGCTCCTTTCTACTTGTTGCATTATGTTTTAGCATTTCAATTGTTTTATTACAAAAGTGAAAAAAAAAACAACACAATGAACCACACTGGGACACGTGTTGCTTCCTCATATTTCTATATTTTCTGATTTAACGTTGTTTCTGAATAAATCTTGCTAATCTGAATCTAGGTTTCTTGCATCCCTTTCTTATTTGTACCTAAATGAATCACTTTTTTAGTGAAAGCACAAGTGAAACTACTAACATTCGCGATGGCTCAGTTCCAGAAATGTTTGCTGCGCAATTAGATTTAGATTAGATTAGATTTAGATTTATACTTTCTTAATCCCCTATTGGAGAAATTCTTCGTTTCACTCTTTTGTTTTTATTTTATACACACACAGGCTGAAAAGCACACTCGTGCACATGCAGGGCTTGTGGAATGAAGCAATTGATGATGTTAACAAGTAAAACATCTGCTATGAAAAGGGGTATTTTAAATATTGTGGAAAATATGTTGGAAGGTCACAAGCTTTTCTCCTGTAATTGCCATTTGTGGCCCTCAGGTTGGGCTGCTCAGCCAAAATTTGGCCAAATAAGTCTTTAATAATTTTGTTTAAAATATATTGATCTTCTAGCTCTACAGATATATTTGGCCTCCTTTCCGCCTCATTGGTTTGGTTTTACTTTCACTGTTTTGTTTCACTCTCACCGCTCTCATCCGTGTTGTATTTGCCCACAGTATTCAGCTGCTTTTTAACACGTGCTTCGTAGACACACTTAGCGGCCAGCTGATCGACATTCAGCAGCTAAAGAGCTATGAATTTCCATCGGTAGATGGTGGAGACCAAAACTGAGCTAAATGAAAGTAGATGGACTTAAAATTACTTTATGTGAAGAACCTGTGCTAATGTAACTCCATGTCTGGTAGATAATAAAATAAGCAACTTCTTGCTAAAAATATTTCCCCATGGTGGTAGGGCTTACTGTTATATGTAATAATGCTACAATATTTTAGGCTTAAATATACTGTCAATGATCATGAGAATCATATAACCATTTGACTGGCTCTCTATATAAGGATATATTTTATTGTTTTGTGGTTTTGTTTTTGTTTGATTATTCATTTGGCTGGTCTCTATATGTGCACCAAATCTCACTTTTAGCATTTAAAGTAAAAATTATAATAAAAAAATAAAATAACATAACATATATAAAAGTGTATAGCTTTTGTCAGTATCTTTCTTCCATGAAAACTAAAACATAATTTAAACAGGAGATAACTTTAGTTCCACGTGTCAAACATGTTAAACATCATATCTGTGCTTACACATAGATATATAGTAAGTAAGTAAGTAAATTTAATTTATAAAGCACATTTAAACACAGTATAAACTGACCAAAGTGCTGTACAGTGGATGACTAAAAAAGGCAAATAATACAGAAAAACACATTGGTAAATAAATAAACTTCAAAAATGGACAGAAATAAAACAGAAAAAAAAAACATTGGACCCAATAGTCAATAATTCAATAAAACATGAATAAAAAAAACCTTCAATATTGGGCACACAACAACGAAATACATAGATGAGCAGGAGTACAGGGTTAGTGAACAGGGAAGGCCAGGGAGTAAAAGGTGGTTTTTAGCCTGGGATTTGGGAGGGCAGAAGGATGGGAGGGGGGCAACATACAGTACTTTTTAAGATAATAACAGGAACAAAACGTATACTCAATGTAATGTATGTGATATGATATCAGTGTAAATATATTGTCGTGCATCGCTAATGCTGATAAAATATAGTTAATATAACTGTGTAGCTGTATACTGGACTATGTAATGTAGTTAATACTAGTAATGTGGTATGTATGTGATATGTATGGATGTATATATGAATGAAAAGAACTAATATATGTTATATATGAGTAATTGATATGTGATATAATATAATGATAGTAAATGATATGTGATATAGAGCCGAGTCTGTAATATATGTCGTAGATAAAATCTATGTGATGGAAGGAATTTTAACGGGAAAAAGCACAGGTTAATGTGTAAAATGATACTGACTGTATGTACAATGTGGTATGTATTGTGTTTGTTTAATTTAATAGGTGAAAAAGGAAAAGTATAATATGTCGTATAGTAATGGTGATATGTATCGTGCTAGATGTAAAATGATAGAAAATATATACATAGTGATAGAGTGTATAGTGAAATAACAATGTTAATGTGGTTTATATGGTGATAATATATGAATGAAAGAAATATAATCAAAATAATGATATGTGAGAAGCTGTGTAGAAAAATCTAAAAGAAAAAATAATATGTGTATGTGAATGTGATAATGTAATGTGAATAGAGATTAATAATATGTGTATGTATGTGTATATATGTGTATATATGTGTATATATGTATATATATCTATGTGTGCTTACATGGCAACCCGGAGTCCGACGTGGAGGGACAATCACGTGAACAGCCGGAAGCGCACTGTCAGAAAGCTGAACCACGTGACCAAAATCTAAGCAAATAGTCCAAGGTGTAGTCAATGGCGTAGCCAGAACTGTGGCAGGGAAAAACTCGATTTTTAAACAGATAAAAAAAAAGAAAGACACTACTATGGGTTGTTAAAGCATAGAGAGGTTACATCTCACATTTATTCTGCTTTTGTAGATTTCGTTGCCCCGTATCGCCTTCTGAATCCCGCCTAATGGCCGTAATATGACGCGTTTGTCCGCACCTTGTTCATTGTTTCGTTCTTGAGTTTAACACACCCGGAAGCGAGAGTTTGCCATCTACAGGCTAGCTGTTAGCTTGCGCGATGAAAGCACAAAAGAACCGGAAAACACAACATATATATATTTTTTAACAACTTGGATAATAAAACGACGCGATTGCAGAGCCGGCGTACTGAATTGAACGGCCAACATCACTGTAACCCGCCTCGCCGTAGCTCTCCGCTGCTCACTCGCTAACATTAGCAGTGTAGACTCCGTTAGCGCTGTGGTTAGTTTTGGTGACTGCCTGGTGATGGCTGTGGCACATAGAGGTTGTGTCGTGGCTGGATATTTACTCCTGCTCCTGCTGGCTGGGTGCAAAGCAAGGATACACAAGCTCACCTTGAAGGTAAGGTGACTGTTTTAGAGAGTTTATGTGTTCGTGGCGCTAACGCGGAGCTCGGACGGTGTTTTATTATTCGAGCCAACTGAGTGCTGACGATGATGGAAACGTGGTGTCGTGTTGTTTTAAAGATGTTTTAAAGGTTTAACAACGTTGGTTTGAAGTAAATTAATAAAAGGTAACTTCTGACGATGTTTCTGGGTGTATTTTAGCAGCATGTGTGCTACAGCAGTGGTTCCTCTTCCTTTGAAGGAGACCCCCTGATTAAGTAACATATGTTGTATTTCATATTGTATTCAATATATAACGATAATAACAGAGAACAACTGATAAACTGTACGGTTTACCCAGATAGTTAACATAATAACTGCAGGAAGTTCGGGTTAAATAAGAGATTTGGATGAGCAGATATATTTTTAGGAACTTTTTATGCAAACCTGTTTGTATTATGTATATATTTTCTATTATTAATCAATTATATATTGTGGATTAAAGCCTTTTTTTTTACACATTCAGTGTTTTATTCCTGACGTTTGTCCATTGTGTCATCAGCTGTTTGTTATAATGCAGGATGAGGCTTTCTGAGAGTAAAGGCTCTGTGAATATAGCATTCAGGTCTTTAAAGATAATAATTTAAACTTTAAAAATGCACATTTTTAAAGTAGTTTTCTTTCAGAGATATATGCCTACTCTGTGTATTTAAGTGTGCACTTTTTCTTACACCCCTTGCGACCTCCTGTCAAGCTTTGGCGACCCATAGCGGGGGTCCCGAACCCCAGGTTGGGAACAACTGTGCTCGAGGCATTTGAACTGTAACTTAACTGTTAAATGACTGAACAGTTTGCCTTAACAGTTTTTGTTTATCCTTCTTCCCAGAACGAAACCCGGTCTTCCGTGGACCTCAACAACTTTGGTTTCTTCCACAATGGGACTCTAGACGTCAGCCTGCTCTCTCTGCGGCTCCCAGACCAGCTGGTGAACTACAGCGTCTATCCTGTAAGGAGTGCTGGTGTCTGTGCTCGTGTGTGTCAACAGGTGGAACCGTGGTCGTCAAAAATAGTTGTTACTGAATGAATTAAAGGGAGGAAATGCATTTATAGAAGTCTTAAACAAGAAGCCTGGTAATATCCTTTAACTTGTCTATTAATCCTATGATAAGACCCAAACTAGCAATGGATTGTGTTGCTTGTCTAACCAAAGCCTGGTATAATTTATTACTCTGTGTGCCACAGAGCTTCATTGTTGTCCACAGACCAATAAAACACACCAATGCATCATACTGTAGCTCAAGGTGACATGTTCCTGTGTTACCATGAACACAGGCACTGGTGCAGTAAATCCTGTCAACTTTCTTATGTCTAAAAGTATAAAATGACCCAAAACAGTTGCCATAGTGCCACAGAAAGGTAAGGAGGTCAGAAAGTATTGAGAGAGAGGCTGATGAATTGTTAGTGTTGTTTTTATTTTAAAGATATTTGTGTTTTTGTGTAGCAGCGTGTATTGAGAGGGAGTCCTGTTAACTGCATACCCTTCTAATAATAAGGATTGGAATTGAAAATATTATATTGATACCAATATTATCACTAATATAATAGTGTTTTAAGACGAGTTAACGAGGTCTTAGTTTGGTGTAAGAGAGAAACTTGAATGTAGAAGATGTACGGTTATATTTTTCAGTTTAATGCAGAAAAATGTTTTTGTTTTTCTTTCTTGACATTTGGTGAGTTTATGTTGTTGCTCGTTGTGAACTCGCTGCTTATCTCCCAGCTACAACTACTCGGGCGGTGATTGGGAGGGGTAGGAGGATGCTAGCGCAGCACACAAACTGTGTACATATATGTATAATATAATATAATATAATAATATATATATGCTGTGGCCTGTTGAAAAATCGCCCAACCCCTAAAATCACCAAAATGTGTTTCAAAAGAGCTTCTAGGATTGACATCTTTATTTATTTTATTCTTACCCTTTACAAACCTTTATTGAATGTAAATATCAAACAAACATATATGAACATTTAGCTTAGCTGTTTATAAGTAGGAGAATTGAGATGACTTCCTATTTTTATTGAGTGCACCGTGGGCGGTCTTTCCCCTCAGGTTATTTAGTTTAGTGATGTGTTTGAAGCAGAAGAATCACAAACAAGCCATTGGAAGTTGCTGTAAAACATTGGGAGCTGTTAAATGGAGCCGGAGTTACAATATACGGAGGGTTGAATGATGACACTAAATGTTCAAATGGGCCATGAATTGTGAAATGTTGTGTTTACACTTCATGTGCTTGACCCACTGACTGACCACATCTATAACTTCCTTTAGGTTGGTTTCACGCTCTCCAGGTCACGTGTGAACGGAGTCTTGTCCTACACAGTAAGTAAATCATTCATCAATATTTCTGTATCCACACACACACACACATTAGTCACACTATTAGGCTTTCAAGGCAAACTACTCTCTTATGTCCTACGCTATCAATGCAACAAATATAAGATACTGACAAAAAAATGTGTTCAAATTTGATTATTTGACTGTTTGTTGTGATTTTATTTTCTCCGGTCTCCAGGCAGAGGAGACAGAAACATGCCCACTCATTCTCACAAAGCAGACCAACAACAACAACGAGCCTCTGATTCTTTTTCTTATTGATATCAACACGCTCAGGTATGTATGTTTTAGCACCGTTGTTCGGAAGTGTGTATTACTGTGCCCTGACAACCTAAGGTGAATGTTTACTGTATAACGTGTGTGTGTGTGTTTGTGTAGTGTCAATGTGAAAGTTATAGGTAAACAAGACAACATCTTGATCGCCAAAAAAAAGGCTGAAGCACCAAAAGGTCAGTATTACTCCAATTTTACAATTCTTACAAAATCATTCAGTGTTTGTATTCCCTCTGCAGTCATAGTTAAGCACCAGGATGAATGATGGAATCATTTTAGACAGACAGTACTTTGAAATATCTCGTGAGGATTTAAAAATGGCTCAAGTCTTCAACCATTTTGTAAAAGCCAAGGAATATGACAGGTAGCTAAGCTTGGGATGTCTTGTACCTTTTTCTTTGTTTCCTCTAGGTCAGAAAAAAACCAGGGAAGCTCCTGATAATCCTGATAACGCCGCTAAACCAGCTGAGAATAGTAAACCAGCTGAGAATAGTAAGCCAGCTGAGAATAGTAAGCCAGCTGAGAATGTGGACAAAAGTGAAGACAAACCAAAAGTTAACTTGCCTCCCAAGGAAGATGATAACACGCCTAAACCGGAAAACGAAACATTCCTGGTAAGAGGTGTTTCACTGTCTGTTTGTGTCATCTATTCAGAAATTCCATTTCTAATCTGTATTTGCTTGTAGCTGGAGAAGATCAGCCAAATGACTTTAGCCTTGGACAAAGTTGACGATGCCTACAACTTCCGTGTAAGTACAACCTTTGTTAACCTTTACATGTAAAATAATAGTTTTCTGTTGTTTAAGTGTTGCGTGACTTTTGTTGCTCCCTCCTCCGCAGTTCCAAATGGTGGTCGGCCTGGTGGCAGAGGGTCTGTACAGCCTCAAGTTCCACTATTGTCAGAACAGATCGCCTGGAATCAAACTGCCCTACTCGTTCACTGTAAGCTGAGGGTGTTTGTGTTGGGTTTGCGCCTGTAGTGTGCGCGCTCACGTCTGTGCACGTGTTAACCTGAGTGTTTCCTCTGCAGGTGGAAGTGACAGAGAAGAATCCGGATGGCTACCTGTCTGCAGCAGAGATTCCTCTGTCTCGTCTTTACATTGGTATGGCTGGAGTCTTCTTCACCGCTGCCATGGTCTGGGTGTACACACTCATGAAGCACAGGTACACATTAGTATTGTTGCCTTTTATTCTTTTAAGGTTGAAAGATCATTTAGACCTGGTACTCTACTACATTACTATAGGGTGTCAAAAATGACCTGTGTGCTTGTTTACAGGTACAGCGTGTTTAAGATCCACTGGCTGATGGCAGCACTGGCCTTCACAAAGTCCACATCACTGGTTTTCCATAGTGTAAGTTAAAGCAGGCTATTGTCTTTTGTTTAATATCTCATGTTTGTGTTTGACTGCTTACTGTTCTCGTATTACGCCTGGATTCTTTGTGTTTTTAATGCAACCTCTCTGCTGGTGTCTCACAGATCAACTATCACTTCATCAACACCGAGGGGCATCCTATTGAAGGCTGGGCCGTCATGTATTATATAACACACTTGTAAGTACAATTTCTCCAAGATATGAACTTTAAAGTTGCTCAACACTCTTGTTTTTTTTATTTTTACAGTTTTTATTGATGTGCTTTCCAGGCTCAAGGGGGCTCTCCTGTTCATCACACTGGCACTGATTGGCACCGGCTGGGCTTTTGTTAAATACATCCTGTCTGACAAGGAAAAGAAGATCTTCATGATCGTAATCCCTCTCCAGGTGTGTGTGCACGAGAAACTGTTATTTACGCCATTGACTATACACAAGATGGACAACATGACTGCTCCCCAAAAGACTCTCACTCACTCAAAATGATGTCCCCAGCGCAAGATGGCAGAGGCCATACATACAGAATATTTTGGCTTCATTTTTGCACAGTAGGAGGAAGTGAAGACGCGTCGGTGATTTAAAATCAGTTTTTTACCTGTCATCCTCCAGGTTTTGGCTAATGTCGCCTACATCATTATCGAGTCTACAGAGGAAGGCTCCAGTGAATACTATCTGTGGAAGGAGATCCTCTTTCTGGTTGACCTCATCTGCTGCGGAGCCATCCTTTTCCCAGTTGTCTGGTCAGTGTGTGTGTGTGTGTGTGTGTGTGTGTGTGGTCTGTCTAATGTGTATCAGTAACATTTTCCATTTTAAAAAATCCATTGAAAATTTGAATTAACACAGTAGTTTTGAGACTAATGTACAGGCAGCTGGCTGTTTCCACAGAGGAGAGTTGAGATAAAAGGATCTTTATGGCAAATAGAACAGATTTTAGTACTATACAGCATCCAAAGTGCCCTATTGTCATTGTATTTTGTCGTAAGTAAGTTTAACTTACTGTAGCAGTAGGACAGAGGTAAGATTACCAGGAGACCAAAAGTAATACTAGAAGGCAGGCGTGATGATAAGCGTTACCGCCAGCCAATCAGAAGGAAGTTGAGCCATGATGCAGGTTCCCATCTTCTCAGCCGACCCTCATCATGAATAGTAATAAAATCGACTCCCTGTTTTCAACGTCTCCGGGTATAAAATTACGAACCTAATGACCTAACAAATGTTCCGTGGGCCATGCCTGCACGTTTACCCTATATGGAGAATAACATTTTCAGTCTGTGTGCGCAGTAGTTCTCAAACATAGTTGTCTTTGTAGGTCCATCCGTCATCTACAGGAGGCTTCAAGCACCGATGGCAAAGGTGAGAATCCGGATCAGTTACAGCCAAAGTGTTTTCTCAGTTGCTGAGATTGAGTTTTTTTAAAATTAAATTGTCTCTTGTCTCTTTCAGCTGCCATGAATTTGGAGAAACTCAAGCTCTTTCGGCATTATTATGTGATGGTAAGAAGGAGTTCAGCTCAGCAGTATTTTTCTTCTGTCCTCGTCCGTCCATCAATCCATCCCCAAGTCCATTATTAGATGCCAGTGAAATTAAAATCCAACCACAACCATAATAATTTTAGCTTGACAGCTTAATCCCTTTAGATTGCATTTACTGCTGATTATGTTGCTGTGTATTGGCAGAATATCTTTTAATAGGCATGTTTTGATTATCAAGCATTATTCTTATAAATTATACTGAGTCACAGTGTCTGGCAAGGCATCGCCAGGCCTCTCGTTCAGCACAGTCACTGCTGCAGAGCTAGAACAAAGGCTTTGCAAACAATCCTGTTACTGTTCGACCTTTCGTACAATAATCTGTCGTTACACTTTGTTGCAAAGCAGGTTTCACTAACCTCGAGCAATATAGCAGATTAGATCAAAAACTGTGTTCGTTCAAGCATTGTGTAATTTTTGAAATTCTCTTTTCTTCTTTTTAGATCGTATGCTACATCTACTTTACGAGGATCATAGCCATTCTGCTCAAAGTCACTATGCCCTTTCAGTGGCAGTGGTGCTATGAGGTAAGACAAGAACAAAGTACAATAACAATCTGACTTTATTATTACGTGTTTGTAAAAGGTCAAAGTCATCCTGTTCCTTACCCTGACTTAACAAAGATATTACACATTTAAAGTCCTGTGTTATTTAGCAAATGGACAACACTATTACTACTACTATGTTTCAGGCTACATTGATTAAATCATTAGACCATTTGTTTAAGCTTTAAACCTTAAAAACGGCACAGGGACACAGATTTATGTCTCATGGCAGTAATATGAAGCTTGTTTTCATGCTGGGTGGGAAGAAATGTGTTTATTTTGACAAATTCAATAGGTAGCTATAAACTAGATGCTGTTATGCTACAGGGCAACTGTGAGCAGTATTCATCTTTTTTTTATTGGTTTCACGTCCATTTTCTGTCATTAAACACACTCACTCCTGTCTCTTCAGTTTTTGGTGGAGGTGTCTACTCTGATCTTTTTTGTGCTGACGGGCTACAAGTTCAGACCAGCGTCCAATAACCCCTACCTCCAGCTTCCCCAGGACGAGGAGGATGTAGAGATGGATGAAGTGTAAGTATACACTATCGCACCTTTCAGTTAACCCTTTCAACTCTACACCCTCTCTGGTTTCCCTCTCATTCGCAGTCTTAAATATGATTTTGACATTTGCTGTTCGTGCTGTAACCATGAATGTATACACAACAGTCGCCTTTCCATGTACCTGAGATGTCAGAGATACCGCTGTCAATGTAAAGAGGAAGTGCTCTCAGTCCCAGAATAAGGCAGGCCTTTTCTGTTTGCATCCATCAGGACTGATAAAGGTTTAAAGGCTCTTTGTTTCTTTCTGTGTCCAGAGTGACCGAGTCAGGAGCACTGGAGGGTATTTCCAAAGTCAAGAAAACCTGTAACGGACGTGATCGCCAGAAAGAGTCCACCTTGTGAGGCGGAAGCTGCATCTTCGGGGGAAGGGGGGGCCCACTAAACATCCCCGGGCCAGCTGGTACAAAGGGGTGCACACGGACCGAAGGCTTCCCACCCCCAGTGACAGCTTTCCTTTTTGAAACTCTATAAGTGGTTGCAGTGGTCGAGCCCACTGTCTGGCTATGCAAAAAAAAGGACTAACTTTGTTGGACGCTCTCCATTTCCTCAAAACACCTCCACCCAGAAACTTTCAGAAGGAAACAGGCTCCTGCCACATAGATGGGTGGAGATATGGAAAGGAGGTCTGATGTTCTATAGATTTTAACTCTCTCTCTCTCTCTC